AAAATAAATTAGAATTTAATCTTAAATTACGTTACTTTATTTAATCAAAAGTCAATTCAAAATTTTAAAAATTTATTTTTATTAAATATTGATATTTAAATTTAAAAAATAATTTTATTAGAATAAATAATTGGTTTCCAAATTTAGATTTAGATTCTACCAACTCTATTCATAAGATAAAGTTTTTTGATGCTTTGATCAATTAGTCCTAGGTTTGGAATGCTACTATTAATTAGCCGAATATGTAGTGAAACAAAATATTTAGCTTTCATTAATAGTATATATATTTAATTAGGTCAAATAATATGCTTTTATTTCCGTAGCACTTATTTAATCAGTTGTTATTGCAGGTATAAAGGTAGAGCCGCCAGTTGCACTCTGTACGACTTATGATGTGCAGATCGAGCAAGATAACGTGAAATTGCAAGGTACGCATATGGTAGGCTGTATTCATTTGACAGATCGACATCCAATGGACATATGCACCTTGTCTCCTTTTTCTTTTTCTTTTTTTTTTTTTTCTGATATTTACCGAAATGCAGTCTGCAAAAAATATATATATCTTGACCGAAATATAAGCCCAAAGCAAAATAAGTAGAATAAATATACTCTTCTACAGCTTGAATGAAAGTTTCTGGTTTTACCTGAATATTATCAATGCATAAGTTAGGCAAATGGTGTTTCAATATTGCAGTGCAACGTAAACAACAGGGGTTGAGTTCAATCCTCCAAAAGTTATCAGGTATGATGACACGTTGCAGTTAATTAAACCCCTTCCTTCCCCCTCCCCAACCCCCCCGCTTTTTTTATTCATTTTCAGAACTTATTGTGGCTGGTAACTCTTCATTTCATCTTCATTTTTGACTCAGGAATGAAACACATATATGAACAAAAGCTGATCCATAGACGTGCCGTAGAGATTGTGCATAGGATAAGCGATGAATTATCAACGTTAAATGCCAGAGAGCTCATTAAGAGTGGAGCTATCCCGGCATTCTTCCAAGCTGTCCAGCATGGCATAACCGAGATTGTGAATATATGGGTGAATGTTGTCCAGATTTACTTGCAATTGCTGATGAAAATTCAAGGGACATAATCATGCATGCAATTAAATATCGTCAAGAAAAAATTTTTCACAATAAAGATTTTTCCAGCGCTAGGATACTTCTGATTGCTCACAGAGATAAGGACAACAATAATTTGCTACATATGGCTGCGAAGTTAGCTCCTGAGTCCTTTCTAACTCGAATCTCTAGTCCTGCTTTGAAGATGCAAAGAGAATTATGATGGTTCAAGGTCATCATCTCTCATTTCATACCTCTTTCCTATCAATTTATATTGAGCTATAATCCTATTCTTGTCTCATACATTACTTTATGATGACAATTAATTTAATCTGATTGGTTTAATTAGTAAAGTCTTTTATATGTATGATAGGTGGTTCTATGATGATGAATATGGTGTATCTTCAGCGTCAGTTAATGTATGATATGTGTCATTTTCAAATGAATGCAGGAGTTAGGGACTCTTGTCCCAGAGTGTAAAGAATTTGTTAATCGAAATGGAGAAACTCCTCAGCAAGTGTTTAGTAGGGATCACAAGCAATTGGCAAAAGAAGGGGAAGAATGGATGAAGCAAACAGCTCAATCTTATACTTTTGTTGGTGCCCTTATCATCACTATTATGTTTGCTGCAGGCTTTACTATTCCCGGCGGTAACAATCAAGATACTGGTTTCCCCATATTCTTACGTAAAAGATTATTCATGGTGTTTATATTGTCAGATGCAATTTCTTTGTTCAGTGCATGTACTTCAGTTTCGATGTTCTTAGGAATCCTCACATCTCGCTATGCTGAAGAAGATTTTCTCAAGTCATTGCCAACCAAGTTGATTATCGGCATTTGCACACTCCTCATCTCTATTACAGCAATGATGGTAGCTTTTTGTGCTGCTGTTTCAATCATGTTACAGGGACGATGGTGGGTAATCATCTTGCTAGTTCTGTTTGCCAGCATTCCGGTGATTGTCTTTTTGTTATTGCAATCTCGGCTTCTTATTGAGATGTTGCATTCAACTTATGGATCTGGAATCTTTAAGAGAAAAAGATTCGCTATAAGAAAAATGACAATCCTCATAAGAGAAAAGATTGCATCTGTAGGGAGGAAATTTGCAAGGAAAAATAATGAGGAGCAGAATCAATAGTCTTAGGGAGGAAAATGAGCCTGGCAATTAATCTTAGGGATGTTATTGAATCTAGTGATGTGCTGCCTTTTATTGATGAAGATCGAGGCTGCTGCTAATTGGAGGACAAAGATTGACGCAGCTCTACACGCGCTTCAAAACTCGTGTACCTACGGTTTTTGCTCGGATGAAAAAGGACAAATCAGCCAAAGATGCTCGGAATAAAGTGGCTAAACTATTTAAAAGAAAGTATAAGTGGCTATGTTGCTGTTGTAATTGATTTAAACTTTTCTATTGTGAAATTCGTCAGTGTTGTCAAGTGCTACGTTTTGTATCTTTTATCCATGTGATTTATTGCAGTTATAATTATTGAACGTACATGGTTATTCTTATCACATTCTTAAAATATATTAGAATTTGTCATGTGAAATATATGGTAACATAATCATTTTAAGGACAAGAAATTATTTTCAATACCCAAAAAAAAAAAAAAAAAGGATAATAAGAGAGAAGCATGTGAAAATTTTATGAGTGATTTATCTTGTTTAATTTTAGTTAGTATATATGTTTGGATGAAAATTCAATCAAAATTACAGTTAAAGAATTTGAAAATCTTGTCTTAATTTCTCTAATTACAGGATGATACATGGAGGGAGTGCTGCTAACAAGCTAGTGTTTTCAAATTTGCCTCGATATGTTAGTGCATACACCACAATTAGTAAATTTTGTGATGATACCCCGGTTTAAGGCAAAGATCCAATGACCACGATTTACTCCATGCAATTGGAAATTTGGAATTGAAAGGTAACCAAGGCTAAAATCTGGTGTACCTGAGCTCATAGTAAGGGAAGAAGACAAATTCTGGTGCATTTTATTTACGCCACGTGTCAGAAGTGGAGTGCAAATAGGTTTTGGGTCCGGTTAAAGGTTAGGTAGAGTTGAAATGGACTTTGGACTTTGATTATTAAAGAGCTGAATTTGGTCTGGGCTTCTAAAGGTTGCCAAAGGATCGGGCTTATATGGTTGTTTTTCTTCAAGATTAAGTTTGACTAATTCGAATGGAGCCTTTGCAACGTTGAAAACAAAAATGATTTATGATTCTATTAAAGGTTAGGTTTAGTTTGATAACCTTATCTTGTATTTGTAATTATAAATTTTTTGGTTTTTTATATCTTAAAAATATGTAAAATATATTTAATATTTATTTTAATTAATATTTTATATATTTAAAATGATAAAAAATAAAATAAAAATTAAAACTTAAAATATGAGAAGTGTTTTCAAGCGAAATTTAAGTTTGATAATATTAGCTTGTTATCATAGTTGTAAGTTTTTTATTTTTTTAATATTTTAAAAATATATAAAATCTATTTAATATTAATTTTAATTAATATTTTATATATTTTTAAAATAATATATAAACTAAAAATTAAAGTACTAAGAAATTTTCTTAGGCGAAGCCTAAATCGGGAAGGACCAGATTTGAAGCATAACCGTTCGAATCAGTTGGAAAAATATCAGAGACGATTCAATTTGGTTCAACGGGCGTGATTTTGGGGATTTTCATTTTTTCAGGGACAGCGCACGGCTAGTTAATAAGACGAGCAGGCTGCTGAAAACATCCATTACTACTTGTATTTAGAGGCCTTCATGAACTGAATTGATTGTAAAAAGTAAAAGTTAAAGTGTCCTCCAGCCGCTTCTTTGTTTTGTTGACTCAAGCGTAAGTTTTTTATGGTTGTCATACTTACCGGCATGCTTTGCAATTTTATCAACACAGCTCTATCAATTCGATTACCTTTTGTTTAATGTTAGTTTTTTAATGGAAAATTATTAATACATACTCAATTTCACATTTTTTTAATATTCATCTCAATTTAAATTTGTTTATTTTTAATTTTATATTAAAAAAAATAATTTTTTAAAAATATATATTATATAATGTATTTTTTTTTTTGAACCGCAAAGATTACTTTTATTAAGAAAACTAAGTACAAGGGGTACTCAACCCTTTTAACAAGCACAAAGACACTGCAAGCCACTTAATGTTAATCCCCTCTTTCAGACCTATTTTTGCTCAAACTATTTATTCCCACCACAATTCACAGTAAGGCACGAGATAGGATCAAGTAACCAATTTGAAAGATTGAAGTAACACCTAACTTTCCTTACTTTAATCCAAGCAAAGGATCTCAGTCGAATAAGTTCAAATAGCTTACCCCTATTCACCTTTGAGTCACGGTAAATTATTTGGTTTCGCGTGAGCCACATAGACCATATCACCGTGTTCCAAATGCAGTCCCAGCCTTCTGTGGTGCGTGAATCTTTAGACCATGCTCCAAAATTCTCAAAAGTTTTCAAGCAATCTTTGTCAAGTGTTATGGTAATCCCCCACCATCTAGCACATGCCAACCATACCCATCTAACAACATTGCACTTCAAAAAGAGATGGTTACTGTCCTCCTCCTCTATTTTGCACAAAGCACATTTCCTTGCTTCCATGTCTTTGATAATTCCTCTTTTGAATAAGTTTAGCTTAGTTGGAATTCTATCCAACACCACTTTCCAACTGAAGGCGGCAATTTTGCTCGAGAGAGTAGAATTCCACTCTCTTGAAGAATTTTGCTTCATCCGGTCCCCTCCCTTCTTTTGTCAATACTAAGTAAGTTGTTGCAGTTGAGTACTGTCCGTTCTTATTGTGTACCCATTCCCATTTGTCTGGTCGACTTGGAGAGATCTTCACATTCTCTATCATCCTGTAGATTTCCTTGACAGCCTCTTCTTCCCACTGAAACAGTTTTTGTCTCCAAGCAAGATTCCATTCCCAAGTTCCATTATAAGCAGTGCCCATTTGGTAGCAATCTTTCTCTTTACCTGTTGACAACAGATACAATCTAGGAAACTTGTTAGCAAGACATCCCTCCCCACACCACTCATCCCACCAGAGACTCACTCATTTCCCTTCTCCTAACTTTATCTTAAACCCCTTCGATAACCACCTTGCATTATCCCTGACCCCATGATTGAGAGCACAAACATCTCTCCACCATAACGAGCCTACACTTCCATAATCTCTCACCCAATCCAACCAATGTCCCCCTCCTCCTCCATATTTCCTTGCAATAATATTCTTCCACAAACTCTCCTCTTGTGTTGCTAACCGCCCCCACCACTTTCCCATTAATGCTAGGTTAAATCTTCTTAAGTCTTTCACCCCCAACCCTCCATCCTCTTTTTTCTTACAACCCTCCTAACTAACCCAACTAATTTCTTTCCCCTAATCCCCCCCTCCCCATAAGAAATTTCTATGAATTCTATCAATAGAATTAAGTATACCTTTAGGGATGAGGTAGACTGACATCAGAAACACGAGTAAGCTAGACAACACAGAGTTGATGAGCATGATCCGATCTCGAAGAGATAGATGTCGACCTTTCCAATTATCTAGCATCCTTTTAAAAGAGTCCACCAATGGTTGCCACATTGCTAACTTTCTACGATTCCCACCAATGGGGATCCTCAGGTATTTGAATGGAAGAACTCCTTCCTTACAACATAGCCTGTAAGCCATCCTCCACTCCGATACCCATTAATTGACTCTCACCATAATTAATTTTCAGCCCCGAGACCAGTTCGAAAGTTCTCATGATGCATTTAACAACCCAAATGTTGTCTTCAGATGCCTCATCAAAAAAGATCGTATCATCCGTGAACATTAAGTGGGACACCATCACCTTGTCATTACCCACCGTCATTCCCCTGTACAGTTCCTTCTCAACCACAGAAGATACTAAACTGTTCAACCCCTCTGCCACAATTAGGTATAAAAATGGGGATAATGGATCACCTTGTCTTATTCCTTTGCTAACAGGGAATTGCCTTGTTGGGCTCCCATTGATAAGAATTGAGACCATGCTTGATCAAAGGCACTCTTGATCAAAGGCACTCTTGTATCCATTTCCTCCATGTAGCATTAAACCCCATTCTCAGTAGCATATAATCTAGGAACTTTCAGCACACCTTGTTATATGCTTTTTCAAAGTCCACTTTGAATGAGAAGCATTTCTTCTTCTTTCTCTTTGCCTCTTCAATCACTTCATTTGCAATTACTGCACCATCCACCAGCTGTCTACCTCTGATGAAAGCCATTTGTTGCTCCCCGATAATTTTGTCAATCACTTTCCTGAGCCGGTTTGCTAGTAACTTAGCAATAATCTTATACATAATCCCAATAAGCGAAATGGGTCTGTATTCTTCTATTCTTTGGGGGTTTTCAACTTTTGGGATTAGAGCAATAAATGAGGCATTTGATCCTCTTACCAGTCTACCCTGCTCATGGAATTCTTGAATGAACCCCACAACATCTTGCTTTATTTCCTCCCACATGGTCTTTATAAGTCTGAAATTAAACCCATTCGACCTAGGTGATTTTGTAGAATCACAATCCCAAACTGCATTTCTAATTTCCTCTTCAGTAAAAGCTTTCGTGAAGAGCTCATTATTTGATTCGGATATCTGTTTGATTTAATACCATCAAGCTTAGGCCTCTTCCACTTGTCCTCAGTAAACATCTCCTCAAAATATTTCGCCACCTCTTGTCTTATCTCAATCACACTCTTGAGCTGCTTTCCATTAATCTGGATGCTGTTCATTTAATTTCTTCTCCATCTTCCCATCGCACGTCTATGATAAAATCTTGTGTTTGCATCCCCTTCTTATAGCCACATCTTTCTTGATTTTTATTGCCACATGCTTTCCTTTATTTTTACATTCTTCTAGAGGTCAAGAAAACAACTTCTTCTCTTATCAATCTCCTCTGCCGAGAGTTGTACATTCTCTCCTTTGTCATCTAGTGTAGCTATCTCCCTTTCGGTTTCTTTTATTCTGCCATCAACATCTGTCATGGATTTGCCACTCCATTCTTTTAAGGCTTGCTTCGTTCTTTTCAGTTTCTCCTTTAGCCCACAGCCCTTCCATCCTTTAACCGTTGTGGAGTTCCACACTTTTTTGATCATTTCCTTGCACCCTGGTTTTTCCAGCCAACTATCAAAGAATTTGAAAGGCTTTGGTCCCCAGTCTATCCTTTCATCCTATAGTAGAATCAGACAATGATCTGACACTGTTTTGTTCAATCCCCATTGCTTAATATCCCTCCACTTCTCAATCCATTCTTCTGAAATCAAGTACCTATCAATTCTACTCATGTATTCACCATTGGAATTATACCAAGTGAATTTTCTCCACACAAGAGGTAAATCAATCAAACCAACATCTTGAATAAAGTAATCAAACTCTCTCATTTCTTTCGATGCCTCCCTGCAACCTGCCCGTTCCCCTGCATTTCTTACAGCATTAAAATCTCCCCCTAAGCAACATTTACCCTTCCTGTTAGAAATCAAATTTAGTAGCTCCCCCCATAAAACTCTTTTCCTCGCTAATTGACATGGGGAATAGATATTCAAAATATAAACTGGCATTTGGTCCTCCCCCCATACCCCAAGCACTCCAATATAATTATTCCCTAGTAAGACCTCTTTTTTTTTCAAATACTTATGTATCCCACACACATAGTAATCCTCCAAACAAGCCTTTTGAAGGTTTGTAAACCCAATCAAAATCATCAAATCCCTATAAGCTTCTACAAACATGTCTTTCTACTACCTCCATTTCAGTCTCCTGAATCTCTAAAAATTCCACTTTTTCCTTCATAACAAGATCTCTAATTTGTCCTTTTTTCCCAATCCCTCCAAGCCCTCTAATGTTAAAAGTTAACAATATCATCAGAGGTTTTGCTTACCTTATTTGCATCATCTGCATCCTGATTTCCCAGCTTTACTTTCGCATGTTTGTCTCGGCACTCCATTTCGTCAATTCGTTACATAATCTCTTCATCATTTTTTGCTGTAGCTCCAAGCTACTTTGCTAAGTCCCATATTTCCATAGCTAGCTGGTTTTTCATTTACTTCCTTAGTACACTGTTGCAGTTCTAGATTCCGTTGTTACCGATAGAATCACTGGCAACCTCACCATTGGGGCTTTTTAGGAAAACCGGATCTGTCCTCCCCTCAATTTGCTGTCTACTGTTCTTCCTTCTTTCTTTTGTTTTCTACAATCCCTCACTACCAGCTCCAGATTTCGAATACACCACACTGCAGAATCTAATTTTCCTCTTCCTTCTCTTTGAACTTTCCTTTGCTCGCCTGTTCAATCGAATCTACACTGTCTATGCTTCTAGTTCGCTATCTTCCTAGAGCAGGTTGTCCTCATCACTTTCCTTGTTTTGATCGGCCAGCTCATTGCTTCTAGAATCTCCTTTATCTCTATTTGGGTTTGGGCTTGTCCCCACTTTTGTTTTTTGGGCCGAACTCCTAGTTGCTGATTCTTCATAACTTGGGCTGCTATTTTGTGTGCTGGGCTCACCATATTACTTCATTTGGTTCTTCTTTTTCAGACCCATAAAGTTGTCATTCCCCTCCCCTAAATTCGCTGCCAGGCCCTTTTTACATATCTGCCTGTCATCCCACCTTGTTTCTACACCGTTCACTCCATCAATCTTATTTTGAATTTGAATTAGGCTATCAGGCATTATTTCGACAGACTTCTGCACATCTTTCAAAATTTGTATCCAGATTTTTCCATATTTCTCACTACTGTTGCTTGCCACGTCATCATCTTCTTTCTCCACCTCAACATGATCTTCCTTTCCCTGCTCTGCTTCTGTTGCCTCTTAAATGTCACAGTCCTCTTTTTCACTATCAATTGACCATGATTCAAGTTCGTCAGAATCACTCTGAAATGTTGGCATGAAATCTTATTTTATAGAGAAGAAACTATTCGTAAATTACTCCTCTGTGAACTTTATGTTGTATAAAGCTCCATTGATTTTAACTTGGCACATAACAGAGATGGTGTTCATAGACGGAGTCGAGATCAAGAATCTGGCAACATCAAATCTCCTTCTTTTGCTTGTACTATCATCTAAGCAAATAAATTTTCCCCAAGATCAACTCATTTTTGTGAAGAAATCTGATCCCCAAGCGTTTAATGGAACTCCTTGGCATTTGATCCACACAAATCTTTCTCTAGCGACCATATCTTGTGTCCATGGTTGTACCCATTCAAACCACTACCCTAACCACTCTGAGGCCATCTCAACCAAATCTTTTAATTCCTCCTTGTCTTCACAATCAAGCAACACCATCTTTCCCCCCATAGTACGAATTCAGCATGAGAAGTAACCTTCCATGTAAAATTTTTCTTGTAAATTACGGACCATTTCGATCGAGTGAGTTATACCCACATAGCAACCATCAAGCCATCCACAGTCTTCTGTCTTGGTATTATATTCAAAACCAACCCAGTTTTTCCTTTTTCCTTTTTGCTGCCATATTGTTCTGTTATCCTTAGCACATTCTCCTCGCCTAGCTCTACTTCTGCTCTCTTCTTGTCTCTTAAGTTGGTTCTCCATAGGCTGTCTTAGCTCCCCCACAACATGTCTTTCCTCTTGTGGACCCCTCAGTGCTTCAGCATAACTTCTAGTCTGCAATATGGGCTCCATAGCTTGTCTGGTTCTTTTCCCCTTATCCTCCTTCTGATCATCTTCATACTTTGGAGCATTCACCCATAGTTTACGATCCCTTATCCAGATTTGGTCTAGCTACCTTTCAAGTTCCTTTTTGTCCTTCACATTCAAGAATCTCACAAATCCGAATCTAACTCTGTTTCTACTTTTCCTATTTGGACTGTATATGGCATAAACTCTTTCAAATTTCAAGAGGGTTTTCCACATATTTGCATAAGTCCAATCATCTGGAAAGTTTGTGAAGAAGCAAGGGGTAGCTTGTTTATACAAGCCCCAATCGTAAGATTCCCCAATCCTTCCTTTCTGCTCGAACTGCTCAAACTACCTATTCCTCTGTCCCATTGGTTCAATCCCCCTATGTTTGGCTTCTCCCTCGAGATCTTGCATGCTCTGTACCCTGTGTTGTCCTTCTTTCCCGTGTCCGACAATCGCCTCCTCTTTCTCTCTGCCTACCTGTCTCTCTCATCTCGCTGAACATCCTCTTTTATATTATATAATGTATTAAACTAGAGTATTTGTTAATTACTGTCTTTTATTAATATCAATTCACTGTGTAAATTTGTTATTTCATTTATCAACAATGGAATTTATCTCTCAAATCAATTTACGTTCCTACCGAGATTTATTTTTGCAGCACTCTACATTTCTGCTAGATTTATTTTTCAACATATTTTCTTTTTTCTGTATGAATTATCTTTCTAGCAAATTACATTTTTTGCCAAGCTACAGTTTGCTGCACTTTCTTATTTCTTGCCAAATGTATATGTTTCTGTCTAAATTAGTTTCCGGAGTCTTATATTTCTATGGGGTATTTTCTCTAATATTTATAGGTGTATTCTTGATACATGTTTACTAAGTCCCTAAAGCTCTTTTAAAGCAATTTAAGGTAATATTTGTGGTCACTATACTAGAACTAATCCTATACTTTGTTTATATCGTCCGATATGCGACATATTTCTTTAAACAAGTTTTTCCAACAGTTAATTATTCATAAGAAAAAATCAAGTAGAAAAGAGTGCTTTCAAAATTCTTTTCTTGCTTTTCTTGTAAAAGAAAATGGCACGTTATCAATGTCATTTATATTACAATGTGTCGCTAACAAGATTTTGGGGTAGCAGCCAGAAACTTCTTGAGTACTAGAGAGCATGTTACGTACATGCATTATTGGATTCTTTCGGATTTACTGGGAATGGATTCTTAAGTAGGTATGTTATCTTGACATGCCCTAGCCTTGAAGTCATTCTTTATTGCTTTTGCTTTGGTATCATCGAATACTGCCTATAAAAGAGGATTATAAAATTGTGTCGTTGAGATGTACCGTAAATATTGCGTTCAATGTTATTTGGCTGCAGGTTGAACAAGGTCTAGCTGTGAGTGTTTTAATCTCTTATTGCTTTATGAAAGTCCAAATTAAAAAATAAAATACAATTTTTTTTGTGATAAGATAAATGAATAATGAACATGTTAAGATAGAAAAAAATTTTGTTTATCTTAAAAAATAAAAATGACATAATTAATTTAAAATAATTTTAAAGTAAAATATAACAATTGTTTTAAAATAGAAAGAATATAAATTTGTATTAAAAGAATAAAAATTAATTTTTAATTTATTAAGTATTTAATTAAATTCATGAATATAACAAAAATACTAAAATTAATAACAATTTTTATATTTTTTTATAAATTTATTGTAAAAACATGACTTCAATTTATACTTAAAGAAGAAGTTAGAAAGCATTCCCCATGTAGTCGTAGAGCGGTCATGTTTTTTCAAAGTACGAAGTAGGTGGAATGCACTTTAGTCTGCAGGTTGAGTCTCAGACTCAATTTTTCTCGAACAAATACACTACTAAAATTCAAGTCTTCAGCAACATGCTTTCATGTTGTTGAAAGTGCCTCCCATGTTGCTGAAAGTCCTTCAGCAACGTAGTTTTTGTTGGTAAAAGCCTTGTTGGAGAAGCTTTGTTGGCTGATACATCACCAACAAGCAAATTGTTGCTAATACATCAGCAACATAATGCACGTTGCTGAAAATATAGTTTCAGCAACGTGCTCCATATTGGTAAAATTGTTCACCGAAATCCGGCAAAAGGTATCGGTAAGTGGTAAAGAGTTTTCAGCAACTTAAGGCACGTTGTTGAAAATATGCTTTCAGCAACATAAGTTATGTTGCTGAAAATCAATGGTAAACTGGCAGTCGAAAAATAAGGATAAATTTAACCCCATTTTCAGCAACATGGCTTATGTTGCTAAAAGTTAAGGGGAGTGCATGTACTCTACTTTTCAGCAACAAAAACTATGTTGCTGATAGTGCATTATCAACAACATAGTCCTTGTTGCTGATAGTGAGGTGAATAATACATTAACTTTATAGTATTATTATTACATTAATTAAATTTGAAATTCACGTTTTTTTTATAACTACCAAATATTAAATTTTTTGGTATCTCACATATAATATAAATATTTATTATTTCTATATTATTAAATTTAAATTAAATAACTTAAGTTAATTAAGTCTAATTAAGTATCTTACCAAATT